AAAGGTTAAGAAAAAAGTTTTATTTCTCTTCTACTTTTGCCTTTTGGGGAAGCAAGTTAGATTAGTGACATGATGGTTTATAGAAGATTGCATGGTGTCTGCAGGGGTCTTTAATTTAATATTGTCCGTATCAGCATGAATAGGCATAATTCTTACTATATTTCTCCTTGGGTTTATAATATTGCTACTGAGAGAAGTTGATTTGGATAGAATTGATGGTCTTGTTGTGTGCCTGTTCTTTCCAATTATTTGTTTAGTCTTTGTAGGATGGCTCAGTCACTTTAACATCTTGATAACCTACCAGGTGTCTGCCTGTTGTTTAGCAGTAGTCATAAAATGCACATAAATTCTTGTCAAGGGTCCTTTGGCCCTTTTTTAGACTGTCCTTTAAATTAACTTTCTCCTCTGCCTCCCTACTGTCTTTAGAATTCAATTATAAAATTAGTTAGGAGCTCAAATTATTTTGAGGAATAAAAAGGCATAGTTTAGCTTTTTAGAACTTTCAAATCACCAATGTGACTGTCATAGTGAAAATAATCTCACACACTACTACCACCACCACCCAACAAGATGCCCATGTTCTTTTACCTGTACTCATGAAATGATCTCAGAATGGAAAAATTATCCTGGCTTATCCAAGTTTTCTTGATTTAATTACTAGACTCCTCCAACTTGAAAGAAAACAGAAGGAGAAAGGTAGAGAAGAAGAAAAGATAACAAGACCAGAGGTTGGAATGATAGGATTGCTGACTTTGAAAATGGAAGAAGTGCTGTGGACCCAGGCATCTAAAGTAGCCTCTAGAAACTGGAAGTTAACCAAACAAGAAAACAGATAGTCTCCTAGAGACTCCAAAAAAGAATGCAGCATTTCAATTTCTTTTATCTTAGTGCAGTGACACCCACCATGGATTTCTGACCTCCAGAATAGTAAGATAATACATCTAAGCCATTTTAAATCGTTGAGCTTGTGGCATATGCATGTGGAAGTTGGACAACGAATAAGGAAATCTACAAAAGAATTCATGTGTTTGAATTATGGTGTCAAGGAAGCATATTGAAAATACCATAGACTGCCAGAAGAACCAATGAATCTTTCTTGGGAAAGATGCAGCCAGAAGATGCTTTGGAAAGGAAGATGGCAGCACAACCTCTCACGTGTTTTGGACATGTAATCAGAAGATATCAGTCCCTGGAAAAGGATAACATGCTTGCTAAAGTAGAGGGTGCCTGAAAAAGAAGACCCTCGACAAGATGGGTTCAAACAGTGGCTAGAACAAACTGCTGAAACACATCAATTGTCAGGATGCTGCAGGACTGAGCTGTGTTTCCTTCTGCTGTACAAACGTTTATGGGTTGGAACTTGACTGTAATGCACCTAACATCATCATCAAGAACATATTTGTGGTAAAAAGCCCTGAAGATGTAGTAGGGTCCTTGGTGTGCTACTAATCCCAAGGCCAGCAGTTGGAATACACCAGCTGCTCCATGGGAAAAAGGTGTAGCTGTCAGTTCTCAAAAAGACTTATGACAAAATAATAACTTATAAATTATCAAGGGTTCATGAGGGAGGTGGGAGTGGGGAGGAAGGGGGAAAAAAAGAGGACCTGATGCCAGGGGCTTAAGTGGAGAGGAAATGTTTTTAGAATGATGAGGGCAATGACTGTACAAATGTGCTTTACACAATTGATGTATGTATGGATTGTGATAAGAGTGGTATGAGCCCCTAATAAAATGATTTCAAAAAAGACTTATGGACTCAGTTTCTTGTTGTTGTTGCTTTGTTTTCATTTGTTGCTTTGTGATGCTCTAGAACCACCAGCACTTGAGCTCAAACATCAGGCAACCCTGGCACCAAAATGGGATGCCAATGGGATAGCTGGAAATAGACCCAGATAGACCCAGCATGACCAGACCTGAGGGGAGGATGGTGGCTGGAAGTGCCCTGACGGGAAATATTAAGAGGACACCCCTTGACCGGAAGAGCCTGGGGGCGGCGGGGACATAGATGACAGCCTGTACCTGCGTAAAATAGGTATCTTTAAAATAAGTCCCTGGCTGTCTTGCGTGTACGACTGCACACTTTTGATGTTTAAGCCTGTACCTGCGTGAAATGCGACTTTGGTAAGTATGTCACCGGATGTCCTGCATGTAGGGCCACCCCTTTATGATGTCAGAGGTCTATATCTGCGTGAAAGGGGGGACTCAGATAAATATGTCCCCGGATTTCCGGCGTGTACCACAGCACACCTTACAGTCTCAGAGGTCTTAGCGGCCACGCAATCTGTGCACAGGCAAATGTGCCATCAATAGCAATAAAAATAATAGGTTTCAATAAAATAAAAACCTGCAGGAACTTGGCCCAACCCATGGACGGGTAAGGCCAACCAATAATCCAGTAGTCTGAAGGAACTAGGTGGATGCCTCAAAGAAAAGAGAAGGCTCCGGTGGGGCGATCAACTTCTGTTGCCCCAATGAGTTATTTCCTTGACTGGTGAACCTGCTGATGCGCTGCTGAGCGTGAGGTCCTGAGCAGAAGAATGAAACGGGTGCTTTCTTTTCTTCTCTCAGACTCTCTGTCTCTGTTTCTCTCTCTTTCTCTGTCTCTGTCTCTCTCTCAATCTATCTCTCTCTCTCTCTCTCTCTCTCTCACTCTGCCTCTCTCTCTCTTTGTTGCTGTCCCCATTCCTCCCTTTTTTCTTTCATTTCCCACTTCTTCATCTTACTTTTATGATTTTTGGTCGGAACCCTGTTTGTTGTGCATTGCATAGCTAACCTGATTGTCAGGAGTAGCAAACCACCATTGATTTAGTTGGAGGAAAATAACACTTCATATAGCCCTGAAGAGTTTCACGGTCTCTCAAACTCACAGATGCAGTTGTCCACTGTCATACTCAAGTGCCATGAAAAGGAATTGATTGGTGATCAGTGAGTTTGGTGTGGTTTGGTCCTCTGAGCTGTCTTAGGCTACTATGTAACCATGCTATGATATATGTGTAGCTCTTTTTCTGTGCATATTGTAACATGAGTTCTCTTTTTTGCCTTGTCCCCCACCATCTCCTGGTCTTTTCGGCTTCCTGGACAATTTTCTCCTGAACCGTCAAGGACACTTCCCTTTTGTGTGAAAGCTGTGTTCCTAGATTCCCCCCCCCACACACACACACCACAACACACACACCAGAACTCCTTCTAGACCCCTTTCTCAAGGGATAGTTGTCCTATGCAATATGATGCATTTACGGGGATTTTCCAACGTTGTTCATTTGCATATCAGTCAAAATCATGCACGCCATCAGGTCTTTGAAGCTTTTCTCCGTATGCTTTGGAGATGTGGGCTGTTGTGCTGTATGTGTGCTCCCACGTTGACTGATATATTCCACCACGGACTGGCTGGGAGGTTGTTAGGCACTTGCTTTCTCACACAGCAGGACAGGCAGGTGGACAAAGGAGTCCTTGGTGCTCCACTTGGTGGGTAGGTCAGAACCTAGTGGGAGTCCCGAACCTGAAGTCCACAGGAAGCCAGGGTTCTCGTGCGAAGGTGTGTTGTCAGCCAGGGAGTGGCTCCTCACGCAGTGTTCTTGCCAAATGAGTACACGGCACCATTCAGTACCAACCGATCTATCTGCCATTGAGTACAGGAGCCCAGGATTTGTCAGCCTGGTCGGGGAAAGGCCTGCAAGTGCACCCGTGGCAAGCGAGGTCTGAAGCGAGCACCTCGCACATTCAGGAGACAGGGTGAAGGCGGGAGCACTGGACAGAGTAAGGGGAAAACATGGTAGTTTCTGGAGTTCTCTAGCTGGCACGTGAAAGAATGAACTTCGAAGCGCACTATGTAACCCTGATATGTTTGCATGAAGGAACGGGAAACGTTCAAGTTCCCCTTCTTAAAGTGGGATATGCCATTTTCTGGAAAGCTTGCCAAGCCAAAAGGAAGCGCGCTGGGGTTCACCAGCGGGAAGGAAAAAACAGGTGGAAAAGGAGAGCCGCGGGAGACCTAGATCCCAAGCTCATGGGGGCTCCAAGGAGACCAGAGGTGGCAATGAGTGGGCATGCGGGTGCTGGGTGGGCCCTGCACACTTGGCGGCTTTCGGACATCTCACCCGGGAGCTGGGGCAGAGAACAAAGCGACTGCCTGTGGCCAGGGCGTGACGGGCGAGGCTGGTGAGGGGGACCAGGAGAGCGTGACGAGTGGGCGACACTTCTTGCTATTATTCTAAGCTGACCCCCTCATGTCTGAGGGTGCCCTAATGGAAGAGACCCCCAGGTGGATAGTAGGCACAAGGTCGCAAAGCTCAAAGGAGCCTCATGCTCCACGAGCACAATGACCAAGAAACGCCTCCGAGAAAATGGCCCTCTTCACGTAGATCTCTTGAGGTCCCCACGCCTAAGCAGGAATCTTGAGAAGCGGGTGCAGGACACTAGCTGGACTTCTGGGGGCGGGGTTACCTTGGTGGAAGGACGATGGCCCAAAGGTTCTGGGGACCAAAACAGCCATGGAGATGCTGGCGCCCATTGGTCCCTCCACTCACAGCCTGAGGCCTGCACCTTCACACCAGCCTGTCTGCTTTATACAGGGGGTCGACAGCAGGCTGTGTGAAGAACTCGAGATATGTGCCGGGGCGGCCGCCCGCAGAGCGCCGCCAATGCGCCCAGGACCATAATTCTCGCTCTGGTGCTGGTGGGAAACTATTCGCGGTGGCCGCTGGCAGTCCCCGACCATTCCCTGGGGGCAGTATGAGACGGACTGCGAGGCCAACCATTGCCTATAAGGTTTTAGAACCAGCAGCACTTGAGCTCAAAAATCAGGCAGCCTAGGAACCAAAATGGGACGCCAATGGAATAGCTGGAAACAGACCCAGGAGAACTCGGCCTGAGGGGATGATGGAATCCGGAAGTACCCTGAGGGGAAAAATTAAGAGGACACCCCTTGGCAGGAAGAGCCTTGGGGGGAAGGGGACATAGATGACAGCTTTTACCAGCGCGAAATAGATCTCTTTAAAATAAGTCCCTGGCACCCTGGCTATGGGGAAAGAGACTGGTGGTTGTGCTCTTATATCAGTCAGGGACAGAGTCAACTTGAAGTCCTTTGTTCATCCTAGCTTGATGCCTAGATTGTGGCCAGAGCTCTTTCATGCCTAGGGCACACTTAAACAAAATAATAATAAAAATTAAAAATTAAAAAAAATAAGTCCCTTGCTGTCTTGCGTGTATGGCTGCCCACTTTTGATGTTTAAGACTGTACCTGCCTGAAATGTGACTTTGGTAAGTATGTCCCCGGATGTCCTGCGTGTAGGGCCACCCCTTTATGATGTCAGAGGTCTGTACCTGCGTGAAAGGGGGGACTCAGATAAATATGTCCCCGGATTTCCGGCGTGTACCACAGCACACCTTACAGTCTCAGGGGTCTTAGCGGTCACGCAATCTGTGCACAGGCAAATGTGCCATCAATAGCAATAAAAATAATAGGTTTCAATAAAATAAAAACCTGCAGGAACTTGGCCCAACCCATGGACGGGTAAGGCCAACCAATAATCCAGTAGTCTGAAGGAACTAGGTGGATGCCTCAAAGAAAAGAGAAGGCTCCGGTGGGGCGATCAACTTCTGTTGCCCCAATGAGCTATTTCCTTGACTGGTGAACCTGCTGATGCGCTGCTGAGCGTGAGGTCCTGAGCAGAAGAATGAAACGGATGCTTTCTTTTCTTCTCTCAGACTCTCTGTCTGTTTCTCTCTCTTTCTCTGTCTCTGTTTCTCTCTCTGTCTCTCTCTCAATCTATCTCTCTCTCTCTCTCTCTCTCACTCTGCCTCTCTCTCTCTTTGTTGCTGTCCCCATTCCTCCCTTTTTTCTTTCATTTCCCGCTTCTTCATCTTACTTTTATAATTTTTGGTCAGAAACCTGTTTGTTGTGCATTGCATATCTACCCTAATTGTCAGTAGCAGCAAACCACCATTGATTTAGTTGGAGGAAAATAACACTTCATATAGCCCCGAAGAGTTTCATGGTCTCTCAAACTCACAGATGCAGTTGTCCGCTGTCATATTCAAGTGCCATGAATCAGAAGCGATTGATGATCAGTGACTTTGGTTTGGTTTGGTCCTCTTAACTGTCTTAGGCTATTATCTAACCATGCTATGATATATGTGTAGCTCTTTTTCTGTGCATATTGTAACATGAGTTCTCTTTTTTGCCTGGTCCCCCACCAACTCCTGGTCTTTTCGGCTTCCTGGACAATTTTCTCCTGAACTGTCAAGGACACTTCCCTTTTGTATGATCACTGTCTTCCTAGACTCCCCCCCCCCCCCCCATCACACAGCACACACACCAGACCTCCTTCTACACGCCTTTCTCTAGGGATAGTTGTCCAATGCAACATGATGCATTTACGGGGGTTTTCCAAAGTTGCTCATTTCCATATCATGCAAAATTGTGCAGGCCATCACGTCTCTGAAACTTTCCTCTGTATGCTTTGGGGATGTGGGCTGTTGTGTTGTATGTGTCCTCCGAGGTTGATTGATATATTCCACCACGGACTGGCTGGGAGGTTGTTAGGGACTGGCTTTCACACGCAGGAGGACAGGCAGGTGGGTAAAGGAAACCTTGGTGCTCCACTTGTTGGGTCGGGAGGAAACTAGAGGGAGTCGTGAACCTAAAGTCCACAGGCCGCCAGTGGTGTTGTGGAAAGGGATCGTGTCAGCCCAGGAGTGGCTCTGCGTGCAGCAGGCTTGCCAAATGGGGACACGGGCCGCGCTCAGAGCAAACTGGTCTGACAGCCATTGTCTGCAGGAGCCCAGGGTTTGTCACGCTGGTGGGGGAAAGACCTGCAGGTTCACCCTTGTGGAGCGCAGTCTGAGGCGGGCACATGGAACATCCCGTGGACAGGGCCAAGGCGGGAGCACTGGACAGAGTAAGGGGAAGGACTGTTAGGTTTCTGGAGTTCTTTTCCTGGCACGCTGAAAGAATGCATCCCGAAGGGAACTATGTAAGCTAGGTACTTTTTTCATGATGGAAGGGGAAAATTTTGAGTTTGCCCATTCTCAAAGTGGGATTTGCAATTTTCTGACAAGTGTGCCAAGCCACAAAGAAGCCGTGCTGGGGTGCACCAGCGGGCAGGCCAAACCAGGTAGAAAAGAAGAGCTGCTGGAGGGCAAGAGCCCAAGCACATGGGGGACCTAAGGAGGCCCTGAGCTGGCACTGAGGGCAGCAGGAGGGTGCTGCATGGGCCCTGAACACTAGACACCTTCTGGACAATGTGCCAGGGAGCCATGGCAGAGCACAATGTGACTGGCTGTGGCCTGGGCGTGACAGGCTCAGCTGGTCAGAGGGAGGCATGTGAAGAGAGCGAGACTTCCTGCCTGTAGTCTGTTCGGGGCCTCCTCTTGGCTGGGAGTGCCCTGGTGGAGTGGACCCTCAGGCAGATAGTAGGCACAGGTTCGCAAAGCTGAAAAGAGACTTCCGCTCCATGAGCACAATGACCAAGAAATGCCTATGAGACAATGCCTCTCTTCACGTAGATCTCTTGAGGTACCCAGGGCTAGGCAGGAGCCTTTGGAAACGGGTGCAGGAGACAGCCCGGACTGCTGGGAGTGGGGTTACCGTGAGGAAATGATGGTGGCACAAAGGTTTTGGTGCCAATACAGCCCCTGAGAGAGCTGTCGCCCTTTGCGCCCTGCCTTCCCCTCCCTAGGCCTGCACCTTCCCTCCAGCCTGCCTGCTTTCTACAGGGTGTCGACAGCAGACTGTGTGAAGAACCTGAGATCTGTGCTGGGGTGGCCGCCGGCAGGGTTCTGCTAACGCGCCCGGAACCATACGCTTCACTCAGCTTACTGGTTGGAAGGTTTTCGCGGTTCCCACTGCCTTCCCGGAACCACTTCATGGGGTGGTGTGATCCTGCGTGGGAGGCCAACCATTGTCTTTCAGTCCCTACATCCCCAGCACCTGAGCTTAAATGACAGGCAGCCCGGGCACCAAAATAGGGTGCCAATGGGACAGCTGAAAAGAGACTCGGCCTGAGGGTAGGTTTGTATTGGGAATTGCCCCGAGGGCATACCTTTGCGAGGACACCCCTTGACCGGAAGAGCCCTGGGGGTGGCGGGGACATAGATGACAGCCTGTAAGTGCCTGCAGCAGGTCACTTAAAAATAAGTCCCCGGATGTCCGGCTTGTGGGGCTGCCCCTTTATGATTTCAGCAGTCTGTACCTGCATGAATGGGGACTCTGATAAATATGTCCCTAGATATCTGGCAGGAGTGTATGTCAGCACACCTTGGGCTCTCAGAGGTCTCAGCGGTAAAACAATCAGTGCACAAGCAAATGTTCCATCAATAGTAATAAAAATCATAGGGTTCAATAAAATAAAAACCTGCAGGAACTTGGCCCATCCCGTGGATGGGCAAGGCCCACCAATAATCCAGTAGGCTGAAGGAACAGGGAGGAGGCCTCAGAGAAAAGAGAAGGCTCCTGAGGGGCCAGGGTCTCCTGTTGCCCCAATGAGCTACTTCCTTGACTAGTGAACTTGTGGATGGTCAGCTGAGCATGAGGTCCTGAGTAAAAGAACAAAACAGGTAATTCCCTTTCTTCTCTCAGCCTCCATCCTTCTCTCTCTCTCTCTGTATCTCTCCCTCTCTCTCCCTCTTCATCTATCTCTCTGTCTCGTCTGTGTCTCTCTCTGTTTTTGTCTCCATTCCTTCCTTTCTTTCATTTCTGCTTCTTAGTCTTCCCTTTATAATTTATGGTTGGAATCCTGTTCGTTGTGCATTGCATACCTAACATAAAGGTCAGGAATTCCAAGCCATCAGTCATGGAGCTGAATGATAATGGCAGGCTCCATAGCCCCGAAGAGTTTCTAAGCATCTGAAATCATCAGAAGTGGTTCCAAACTTTCATACTCAAGTTTCTTGAAAGGGATTCGATTGGTGATCAGTGAGTTTGGCTTGGTTTTTCCGCTTAACTGTCTCGGGCTTCCATCTAACCATGCTATGATATATGGGTAGCTCTTTTTCTTTGCACATTGAAATATCAGTGCTCTTTATTGCCCTGGCCCCCACCAAGTCCTGATCCTTTCGACTTCTTGGATAAGCTTCTCCTGAACCAACAAAGGCACTTCCCTTTCTCATCAAAGCTGTGTTCTTGAACTGCCCCCCTTCTTACACAGACAACCTATCTCATCCTCACCCTCTTTTCCTAGGGACAGTTGTCTTATACAACATATTGCATTTATGGGGGTAGTTCAAAGTTGCTTATTTTGATATCGTGCACGCCATCAGGTGATTGAAACTTTCCGCCTATTCCTTTTGGGGATGTGGGCTATTATGTTGTATGTGTGCTCCCATGTTGATTGATACATTCCACCACGGACTGGCAGCTAGATTGCTAGGGACTGGCTTTCTCATGCAGGAGGAAAGGCAGGTGGGTAAAGTAACCCTTGGTGCTCCACTTGTTGGGTCGGGAAGAAACTAGAGGGAGTCGTGAACCTGAAGTCCGCAGGCCGCCAGGGGACTTGTGGAAAGGGATGGTGTCATCCAAGTAGTGGCCCTGCGTGCAGCAGGCTTGCCAAATGGGGACACGGGCCCCATTCAGAGCAAAGCGGTCTGACAGCCATTGGCTTCAGGAGACCAGGGTTTGTCGGGTTCTTACGGTAAGGCCTGCAGGTTCACCCTTGCACTGTGAGGCAGGCACACAGAACATCTCATGGACAGGGCCAAGGCGGAGGCACCAGACAGAGTATGGGGAAGGACTGTTAGGTTTCTGGAGTTCTTTGCCTAGCACGCTGAAAGAATGCAGCCCGAAATAAACTGTGTAACCCAGGTACGTTTGCATGAGGGAATGGGAGATGTTCGAGTTTCCCCATTCTTAAAGTGGGATTTGCAATTTTATGACAAGTGTGCCAAGCCACCCAGAAGCCGCATTGGGGTTCACCAGCAGGCAGGCCGAAACAGCTGGGAAAAAAGAATAGATGCGGGAGGGCTAGAGCCCAAGCACATGGGGGAACCAAGGAGGCCCGGAGCTGTCACTGAGGGAGGTAGGAGGGTGCTGTGTGGCCCCTGCACACTAGACACCCTCTGGAAAATGTGCCCGGGAGCCGGGGCAGAGCATAAAGCGAATTGCTGTGGCCTGGGAGTGACAGGTTAAGCTTGTCAAAGCGGGGAGTGTG